TGTCCAACATCAACATCATGGTTTCCTCAGTTTGTTTTCCTCAAGTTTTGTTTTTAGGATTAGCTGGACAATTCTGCCAATGATTTTTCACGTTTTTTGACCCATTGACATTAACATCATAAGCAAATGTTTTATTCTCACAATACATACATTAAGCTTTAAGCTTACCATTTTCCTTGTACTCCCAAAAATGCACCTAATATTCTGCTCTCCTTCCTCTTCCCTTTGGAACATAATGTCTTCCCTCCAACTTTTTCCTAGGTGGTAGTAGTGTTGTGACATTTTGCTCCTCTTTATCAACTTTGTCAGAAACATCATCCTCATTAAAAGTTGCATCTACATTTGCCTCTGAATCTTCAAACTCAGAGAATGACCTCTTATTTGTTGATTTGGAGCTTGACATCTACAAAGAAATGTAAATTATGAAGCATTTCTTATGCATAATATATTATTCGTTAGATGCAATTAACTACAATACAGACTTATTTGTTGGATGTAAATTATGAGCTTGACAGTAGTGCTATAAGCTTAACTTGTATAATAATATACCTAGTAGGCTAGTAGCATGTATATAATATAGTAGTTTTTTAGTGCTATATAATCTATCTTTAACTTTTGGAGAATATAATATAGTAGGTTGTTTTAGTGCTATAATCTATCTTTAACTATTGGAGAATATAATATAGAAGTTTTTAATTGCTATGCCTATAATCTATGTTTTTAGTATGTTATATTGTTATTAAAGATGCAACTCGTGACTCATACAAGATTAGTATATAAATATATGAATAATATAATATAGTAGTTTTGTAACCATGTTGAACAATCAAACAATTGTATACAGGCAAGAGGCAACTGTCAAATAAAAGACTCAAGTTATCAAGCACTCAAGTGCATATTACAATAATTTCATGCAGAATAAACACAAATCTCAAATATCACCAAGAAATTCTACTACATGAAAGCATACAACAAAATTAAAATACTCGAGAATTTTACCTTTGCCGGTGCAAATCAGGAAATTAACAATACTACTCCACTTGGCCTAAATTGATGATTACAATATAGAGAAGCAAATCAGAGAATCAATCATAAAAGAATTTTAGGAAGATGTGATGATTGGTTTGTAGAGTTACAAGTTGCGCTTTGCTTGAGAATTGCGGTTAACGAAAGAAGGTTTTAGGGTTTTTTCAACGGTGACGTACTGACGTTTAATTTCCCTAGAATTAGTCTAAAACGTTTTAATTCCAAGGGTTTTTGTTAGCAATTTACGCAGCCCACACTGATTGGTATATATGTAAATCCGGGTTGGTCCGGACCGAACCGAAACCCGGAAAAATTCTATTTTATAAAACCGAAGACCGGACCGATTATATTCGGTTTGGTTTTGTCCAGTCCGGTCCAAAATTTCGGTCCGACCTGAATTTTGCAGAGCCCTAGTTTCATGCACCCACATCATTACACCCAGGTCATAGGTCGTGGGCATAGGTTATATACTGCCAATAATTATTAGAAATCAAAATATGGTTGTTTTTATGCAAAACTCAAAGCAAAGTCAATGCTCTCAATTGCATACATCATGCGATCCCCTCCCTACTCTCACTCTCTCAGGTTTAGAAATGAAACATTATTTCTGATATCCCTTTATTTTTTATTCTCTCAACACATTTTAGAAATTTAAGAGCTGTTTATTTTTTATTTTTTTTATAAATAGTAGAAATTTAGGAGCTTGAGAAGGAAGATACCAATTATTACCAGCAATTAATTAGTCTAGAGGACAACTATTAATATAGAGTTTCCTTTGGATGATATTTTATACCTAGCAATATTTGTCTTAGTAGATTTACTAGCCTATAAAATTCTCCCATCAATAGGGCAACCCCAATTGCTGTAGAATTTTTCCATCAATTATGATCATATAGTTATAGAACCATGAGGCACTCTTCCATTTCAACCAACCTGCTTTGATTTCTAATTGCCTATCGATGAATAAATCTTAGTAGTAGGTAATTCCTTATGCTTTTCTTGAGGCACCATCTCCATCTAATTTTTTATCTTTTCAATTATTAGATCCTAAATAGCATGCACATCTCCATCCAAATCTGCATCCTTTTGATAAGGAGCTCTTATGTCTTACCAACATTGGCTCGCAAGTTATGCTAGCTCTCTCATGCATGCCCTTAATAAGGTTAATATATTTTCACAAAGCACCATGGAGCAAGTTTGGAGAGAGCATAATGAGTGAGGGAGCACAAGGGAAATTTTATTTTGGAGAAAGCATAATGAAGCACTTCCTCGCACATGTCCCTTTCTTGCTTACCTAGTGAAAGCAATAAGACAATCCTCTTGGTGTAAAATTTTATTAATTTATATTTGGACAATATTACAAAGTGCTTCGAATGGTGTTTGATTATTGCTTGGTTGAGTGTAGAAGATAAAGGATTCCATGAGAATATGAGACTTTTGTTGTGCATTGCGCATAAGCATTTGTTGTGAATTGTGCATAAGCATTTACCAAATTCTATTAATCCCAACTCCTAAGGATTTATAAGATTAATTGTGGATTCAACTCATCCTAGGCAATACTAGAGGATACGGGTTGTTTAGTATCAAATATATGTTAACCTTTTATTATGTTGTGTATCATGGTACACACACAGAATGATATTTGAGCTAAGACAACCATTATTTTCCTTCACACTGAATTAATGGTTGAACTAATTAACCTTGAAATTTAATTGCCTTGTCATTCCTTGATACATGCACAACTTTGACTATAATATAACACTTTGACCATATATATATCAATATGTTGGTAAAAAGTTATAAAGTTTACCTTGACATTTTACATTGTGACACTAATCTTTGATTTAGTAGTCAAAATAACTTAGTCAAAGCTAGTGTGCGAATGAATATTGTAGAAAGTCATATTGTTACATACTTACATGTATGGAGAAACCAAGGAAGTATTATTGTATAGATACAATCACCTTATTATGGTTGAGCCAATCAATCAAGCAATCAAAGCCTTAATCCTATAAGTGGGGTCGGCTACATGAACTAAAATTGATTATTCCGTATAGTTATCCACAAAAGTCTTCTTCCTCCATCCCTTACGATAAAATACCTCATTGTCGTTTAAATCAATTTTTTTTCATATCCTTCCTAAATCTTTTCACCCAAGTCATTTTTGGTCTCCCTCTATCTCGTTTAAGTTCTCCATGATCCCATTCTTCCACTCTTCGTACTGGCGCACCCGGGGTTTCCGTCTTACATGCTGAACCAACGCAAGCTGATTTTCCCTTAGTCTGTATGCAATGCCTGCAACACCCACTTTTTTTTGCAAATAACTTCATTTCTAATTTTATCTCTTAGAGTGTTTCCGTGGATCCATCCTAACATGCACATTTCTGTAACCTCCTTTTTTTTTTTTTTTTTTTTTTTTTTTTAATGTGCTTCTTCTTTAAAGCCCAACATTCTGTACCATAAAGCAACACGGTGGCAGTCCTATAGAATTTCCCCTTATTTTAGTCGAAGTGAAACTTTAATAAATTTAAGTATAGATTAGCCTTAATAAATTAAAACCAGATCACCCTATTAGTCTTTCTAAGTGAATTGAATACAACTTTATTTTGGTCTTGCTTCAAGTTTCATCTGAATCCAAAACTTAATGGACCAGCCTTCACAAAAACCACTTGCCTACGTCTTTAAATTAATGAGAAACTTCACTAGGAAGTTCTTGCGAGAGGAATACTTGATGCGAATTTGCTCCTTTGGTAATGTTTTGAAAATTGTGACAAAGATTCCAATCTTCAAAGTCGGCGAGGAGGGAATAAATGCTTGAATGATGTACTATTTCTAATATTCACATTTGGGGTGCTATTTTCAAGTAATAGCGTCATTGGCTAGTTAATTGCCTCCTACAGTGAAGTTGTTTGATGTCCTTGCCTAAAACTATATTAACTAAGTGGAAAGCCATTGCTTATGCCACGAGTGATGTATAACAAAAGCTTTTGTGTACTCTCGGTTTACAACGATTCTAGTGTACATAGAATAGTTTTTGTGTAACTTTTACCAATTTGAGATAACTTTTAATCTTTTTTTGTAACTTTAAACCTGATGTGAATGTAAAATAGGCAAATGGGATAAATTTTAGAAAGGGTAATATAATTACTTTCATTCAATGAGAATTTCTACTCATTTAAAAAGAGTAACTTTATCAATAAAGCATGATAATTTTTATTTATATTAGGGTAACTTTTATTTATGTTGAGGTAATTTTTATTTATGTTAGAGTAACTTTTAATCATTTTAGCACAAATTTACAAACAGGTGTAAAATGTTAATGTACCATTGATTTTTTTAAATGTTTGTGGATGCTTAAATGTTTAGTTGGTAAATGCTAAGATGTTGTTCCCTTGAAGTCACGCAAGATCATGCAGCTGTTGCTTTGCTAGAAACTAAGCTGTCAAAATTGAGTTTCGTGGATCCTAAGAAACAACTATTGCTTGTTGTGGGGGGACTTGGTTAGGGGATATATAACTGCTAGTTAGCAAGCAAATTTTCACTGCACCTAGAGAATATGCAATTTAAGTACATATATTTTTTTTCTCCTGATTTGCGTGATATAAACTACATCAGTTGTTAAAACGTGAAACAATTTGCCAATCCAGAACATTTGTTGGTCATTGGAAATCTCTTTATTTTCCCCTCTCCTTATTTAATTATACAGAGCATTCGTTACAATATCTGATAATAATAAAGAGTTGTTCCAATGATTTAGGATATTGTCTAGCCTTTACACATTCCATTCCAGCAAAATATGTTAAATTCTTTTTCATAACAAAAATAGTATGATTTTCATCTGCCTTTCTTTAATTAGTTCGTGTCACTATGTCAGTAGCATCTTTGCAGTGATACTTCTCTGTTTTTGTATATTTATTATGATTGCACAATTTAATTGTGAAACATTATTTAAATATTTCAATTGTGAATTGCAGAAGTGTACTGAGCGTCAATTTCCGCCTGCTGAGGTTGCCCAAATTTTAAACCTGGCAGTCACAAGCTTACAGCCATGCTGTTCACAGAACGTCCCAATATATGCAGAGATACAGAAATGTATGGGAATCATTCGGAGCCAGATACTGGCACTTGTACCTACGTAGAATTAATCTACTTGAAACTTTGTATCTGGTGTAAATTTATAATCTGTAGATGTAAATTTATAAATCTTTGTGGTGGTTGCTGCTGTCCAAGCCAAAGCCCCTTTGAATGTTGTCAATTTATCGTAATTAAATGTTGTATATGAATCATGAATTCATATTTGATTAAATATATATTCATGTGCAATTTAGCACTTCCACGATGATTATCATCTCATTTTTTCTCCAATAAACTCCATTTACCTTTTAAAATCACAAATTGGAAATGATAACTAAACAGAATCTGTTTCTATTGGATTCCTGCACTAAGTTATGATTTACCCTAGATTATACAAAGAATATGATCTCTCCATATATACAAACAACCATGCCAAGTAAAGTGGTAACCCGTAGTGAATGAGATTTGTTTTTTCCCTTTTTTTTAGCAATTATTCACACAAGAAGCTATGAGGCACACGCTATGCTTGTACTATATAAGAAATTTATTACTTTACTAGTAGTATTACGATTATATATTTTTTCAAACATCGATATTTACATAAAGTTTTAAATTACTAACACATAAGTTAGTAAGTAGAATAAGAAGAAAATAAGTAAAATAAAATACCTATTAAATTCTTTTCAATACTTTTGAAGGAATTTACATCATATGGATACAAACTAGTAGAAATATTTTGGGATGAAGTGAACTTTCACATTCCACTTTTGAGTATATGGACGTGAATTTACATCATATAGAGTAGGCATCTTGTACCTTAACTTTAAAAATATGGTGGTTAAATTTTTTGCATAAAAGATTTTAATTAAAATTTAGAGTAAACTCCTACTCGTAACATATAGATAGATAGACTTATAGTGTTTTTGATAAATGTATAGGTCCTTTTTTTTTTTTTTTATTATTATTATTATTATTATTATTTTATTTATTTATTTTAATACATTGAAGAACGTGGTACATTTTGGGTTTTATTTTTTTTTAAATTGCTTGATGTACCGTTATTATCATATTTTTAAACAGAGTAGAATATGGTACGTACATTATGGGTATTAATTTTCTTTTTTTTTTTAAAAAAAAAAATAAAAATAATGTAAAGCTAACAAATTTACATGTTATTTAATTTGTGGGCAGTTGTTGTTATTATTATTATTATTATTATTATTATTATTATTATTATTATTATTATTATTATTATTATTATTATTATTATTATTATTATTATTATTATTTTTATTATTATTATTATTTATGGTAAATTGATGATAGATGATTTCATATCTTTTATTTATTTTTGTGGTAGTTATGATAGGACATTTTTTTTTAATAATACTTTATTTTTGTGGGTAGTTATGATAGGATAATTTTTTATTTTTTTTATTTTTAAATTTTTTTTATTGCATTTAATTTTAAATTGTGGGTAAAAAAATGTAATTTTATAAATGTAGAAGGGTATTTTAAAATAAGCAAAATTTATTAACCAAAAGGTCCTTTATCTTTATATAGTACAATAGATTTCGGCGTTGGAATGAAACTTAATTACTAAAGTATTGGCAATGTGCTACGTGAAATAGCCAACCACTACTGTAGAAAGCAGTTTTATTAAGTATAACCGCTACTTAGGATAGTGGTTTGCACTTAAAAAAATCACTTCAAGCTACGTGGACAACTTACCTGTAATTTAGTTTAAAACTAGGAAAAATGGTATATATGTTTTATACGAACAACAGTTGCATAATACCGTTTTCATATGACAGTGCCATATGGTATCAATCACATAAAATAAGAAAAGAAAAAATTTGGAATCTAGTATTAAAGTACAAAAATAGTTCATAATTGATTTTTCCTTATTTAAAATTTTTGATTTTTTTTGGGAAAACATCAGCAGTATGTACATAATAATTTAAGTGATCGAGGGATTTCCTTACTTAGCCATGTCATCAATCCACAATCAATTAATTTAATCAATCAGAATGCTTTTGACATTCTATTAACCAATCTGCCTTCAAGTTACAAGCTTTGAATATATTCAATATGGGTAAAATAGGAAAAAAAATTAAGTTGAATATGGAATATATTCAATATGGGTAGATTTTTTTGAAATGCCCAAAATAAAAAGTGGGACTAACAAATAGAAACGGATGGAGTACTTTTTACTAAGCAAGCCTTTCACATGATGATCCATCACATGTAAATTCATCCTTCAACAAAGAAGTTATGAAATCCGAGATGGACTCCATATTTGAAAATCAAGTATGGGACTTGATTGATTTGCCCGAAGGTTATGCACCTATCGGTTGCAAATAGATTTTCAATTTTTGAAAACCGACAAAGATGGAAATGTGTATGTATACAAAGCTAGATTGGTGGCAAAAAAATTACAGGCAAATTCATGGCGTTGATTATGATGAAACCTTTTCGCCAGTCGCCATACTTAAGTCCGCCCGGATTATCCTAGCAATTACCGCATATTATGATTATGAGATATGACAAATGGACGTCAAAACCGCCTTCCTTAATGGGATTTTGGAAGAAACTATGTACATGACACAGCTGGAAGGTTTTGTAGATCCAAACAATGTTGGGAAGGTATACAAGCTTAAAAAGTCCATTTATGGACTAAAGCAGGCAAGCAGAAGTTGAAATCTGCGATTCGATGAAGCCATTAGTAAGTTTGGTTTTATCAAGAATCCAGATGAGTCTTGTGTTTACAAGAAGGTTAGTGGGAGTGACATCGCATTCCTTGTCTTATATGTCGATGATATATTGCTCATTGGAAACAACATTCCAATGTTGGAGTCTGTAAAGACTTGGCTTGGAAAGTGTTTTTCAATGAAGGACTTGGGAGAGGCACAATACATATTGGGCATCAAGATCTATCGGGATAAATCTAAAAGGATGATTGGATTGAACCAAAGTACTTATATTGATAAGGTACTGGCACGATTCAACATGGAGGTAGCCAAGAGAGGCCACCTACCCATGTTGATTAGGGGATTTTGCTCCCACCAATCGAAATGCGCCACGTGGGCCAATCAGGTCCTGCCAAGTGTCCCCCAGTTGGAACTGTCAGGGTTTGCCACGTGGCACACGCCTATTCGTCCAAACTGGACCTATTATGTCATGACACGTGGCATCCTCCATGCCTAATGGAGAAACCGGCCACCTAGGCCCAACTTCCAAGGGAAGCCCAATCAGTCCTAAGTTAACCTAAACCTAGGATTGGCACATTTCCCAAGGTTATAAATACCTCCCTTAATCCTCATTAAGGGGGATTACGCACATTTAACACTCTCACCTAGAGAGACCCAATCACTTTTATTTCCGCATTAATTACTCCTTAATCAAGTACTAACTTGACCGTCGAAGGCAGATCTCCAATCATCCGGAGCATCCGTTTGTTTTGCAGGTACAGACGTCCGGTTCCAGTCTCGGAATTGTAACTCTCCCGCAGGACATCAGAAAACCCCGAAACATTTTGGCGCCGTCTGTGGGGAGAGTACTTCTGAGATGGCATCCACGTCTGTACCGACTCCTGAAGAGTGGCGTCCCCTAGACGACCCTCAAGTTCAGTCGGACCATGATACTAAGGAAGAATTTGAAGTTGAAGCTCACACAGCTTCAGACGAGACCCTAAGGGCCCGACGCACCCGTCATACCGAAAGGAGGGAACGGGAGCATCTTCAAACTGGACTCAGTGATCCAGCAGGCGCACCGCCTGTTCAGCAGCAGCCGGCTTATGGGTTTGCTCCCATTACAAGGAACGAACTCATGACCTTCATGAGGGGCTTCAAGGGAGAGATTCAAGAGTTGCTCAACAAGAAGCCTGCTTTGGCTAAGGAACAGTCGGCTAAGAAACCTTCCACTTCAGGGAAGAGGAAGCCAGTTCAAGGGCGAGAGGCGACCCCTCATCCTAACTCTAGGAAGTGGGAGCCGCCTGCCCTTGATTTCACAAAGTACCGCTTTCCTACTCCAGGAAAGAGGAAACCTGTTCGTCATATTCAGGCGGACGGGTCGAAGAAAACATACACAGATGCTCGGCTATTGCTAGAGCAGAAAAAGAATGACCGATTGTCAGAGTCGGCCTCTACTTCAAACTTCCAAGGCAGTCTGCGCAATACCTCGATGAGGCATACTCAGCCGCATCATGAGAGTCAGTCAGGCGGTACCTCCCGTCAGTCCGGCTTTCATAGTGACCAGGCGGTACCAAACTTACCATTTTTACCGCAACAACAATATTTTTTGCAGCCACCTCTGTTTGGTGGGCATGCAGCAAAGAATGTCCAACCTATGGACTGTCAGCTACGGTTGCTTAGACTTAGGGAACAGCCGTCGGCCTTCTCCAAGGAAATTGCTGAAGCCGCTCAGCCGGCCAAAGTGAAAAATGTATTAGTAGGCGCCTATGACGGCACTACTAACCCAGAAGACCATTTGATGGCATTCACCAACCTGATGTACCTTCAAGGGTTGGATGATCCCACTTGGTGCAAGTGTTTTCCAGCGACTCTCAAAGGAATCGCACAACAATGGTTCGGCAACCTGCCGACTGGTTGTGTGAATAACTTTAGGACGCTTGCTTACTTATTCACCTCCAACTTTGCCATGAACATACCTGCAAAGAAGACGACCCTTGATTTAGGAACGATTCAGCAGGGTGAGAAGGAGGGGCTTCGTTCTTACATCAGGCGGTTTAACTTGATGAGAATACAGATTCAAGGGTTACCGGATGAGGTAGCCTATACTGAATTTTTCAGAGGCCTCAAAGAAGGATCGACATTCAAATTTGATTTGGTCCGAAAGAGGGTGGCGACTCTTCAAGAGGCCTTGATTGAAGCGGAAACCTATATACAGGCGACTGATCTTTGTAGTACAAAACAGTCGGACGGGAAAAGGTTCGACAAAAGAGAAGGACGACAGAAACAGTCGTCGAATAAAGATGAGAAGAAGAGAAAAGAGGTTTGGGCGGCTGAGTCCTCTAAACAGCCGGCCCAGAAGAAGAAGAAAGAATTCAAACCATACTCTCCAAAGTATGCGTTTAGCAAGGATAGCCAAGCTATCCTAAAGGAAATCAAGGGACGGATCTCAATTGAAAAGCCGGTCCCCATGAAGGGTTCTGCAAGCAACCGGAACCAGGAAAAATTCTGTGATTATCATGAAGATGTTGGTCATCACACCAACGAATGCATCAGCCTCATGCGGTATCTGGACCGCCTGGCAGAGCA